AGCCCTTTCCTGGTTCCCGTCTCTCCTACCACCATATGCCTCCTTACAAAAAAGGGAGAAATTCCTTCCTTGTTACCTTTCTTCCTCCCACGGACATGGCTGATGTTATGATTTAGATAAGAAGTGTCCCCCAAAAACTCATGTGAGACAACGCAAGAAAATCTAGAGGTGGAGTGATTGGGTTATGAGAGCCTTAACCTAACCAGTGCATTCATCCGCAATAGGGATTAACTGGGTGGTAACTGAAGGCTGGTAGGGTGTGGCCCCAGGTCACCAAGGTGATCCTTTGGGGTTTATATTTTGTCTCTGGAGAGCAGAGCTCTCTCTGCTTCCTTGTTGCCACATTCTGAGATGCTTTTCCTCTGCCTTGATGTGCTGCTCCACCTTGGGCCCAGGGCAACGGAATGAGCCATCTAGGAACTGAGACCTCTGAAACCCTGAGCACCAAAGAAACTTTTCCTCTTCTAATCATTTTGGTCTGGTCTTTTGGTCATAGTGATGAAAAAGCTGACTAAAACAGCAGTGGTCAGAGTCAGAGGGTGAGGCCAAGGCCTGATCCACCCATGAGAACTTCCATCTCCACTGCCTCTCCCACCCTCTCACCCATCACACCGAGACCCACAGCCTGCAGGGCCCTGTGCACACTGCCCACTTCTCAGACCTCACCACCTCCCATGTTGCTCCTTACTCACTTTGGCCAGATGCTGCAACTTCCATTTCTCGCTTGAATGCACGCGACAGCTTCAGGGTCTGGTACAGCTGTCCCAGATGCTCTGCCTCAACCTCTCTCTTCCAAACCCACCTGGCTGTTCCTTTTGTCATTCAGGTTAAAAGACACCTTTCAAGAGGGGCCTTCTCTGACCTTCCAAGCCCCTTGGATACTTTTAAAAATTACATTCCTTCTTTGTTACTTTCCCCTAGGAATTTACTGCTATCTGACATTCTCTTATTATTATTTTTCTCTCCAAAGAGAACACCACATCCATGAGAGCAGGGACATCGTCCATCTTTTTCCCACTGTAGGAGTAGAACCTAGACAGCACTTGGCATACACCAGCCAACAGAGACATTACCCCAGTGCCAGGCTCAAAGGATAAGAGCCAAGAGAAGGGAAAGTCTAGGCCTAAGCAGCTCAGGAAATGAGGAGAAAGGCAGAAGGCAAGAAAGGGCAGGCTACAAAATCTGGAGGGCAAGAAGGAGCCAGGCAAGTGTGATGTGGAAGGAGTGGCAGAGAGAAGCTGAATGGCTATGGAATGTTAGCCTAAGCTGCTGACCTTCCCAGGACAGTGCCCCAGTGTCCAGAGAAGCAAGCAGGTGAGACATAGCAGAGTTAACAACGTGTAGTTGAACCACAAGGGGGAATCTCACACCCACCTGGCCTCAGGTTTCCATTACTGTTCCCAAGAGAACCAAAGTGGACCAGGTCTGCCATTTTAGATAAGAGGGGATCACTAGGGATCAGAATTTGGGTCAGGTCATTAGAAACAGAGATAAATTCACCTCAGAAACAAAAACGGCATTGACTGGGGCAAGTGGCACCATTTGTGCCACAATTCCCATGATGTCCCGATAGGCATGGCCCCAGCTATGCTGGACAAAGAGATGCAGATGAGGCTGTACTGCAAAGCTCTGGCTTCATATGTGGTTGGGAGACAAAAGCCAACACACTTCTTTCTGGACTGACAGAGAAATGCCCTCTGCACCCCAGGAATGAATGCTCTTGACCGTGCCACACAGTCTGCCAGGAGAACTTCCAGATGGCACTTTTGAATTCCTAAGTCCCAACAGAAGTCCAGAAGTTTCTTTTCAAATTAGCAGAACCAGAATTGGTGGAGAGTAGGTTAGGAGCTACACTTTGACACTTCTACAGATGTTCCTGCCCCTGCAATGTGGTTATATCCTAATAAACCCATAAGTTGAGAACAACATTAGTTGAAAATGCATTTAATACACCTAACCTATCAAACATCACAGCTTAGCCTAGCCTCCCTAGGCAAAATCATCAAACACAAATCCTATTTTACAATAATGTGTTGAATATTTCATGCAGTTTATTCAATACTGCACTGAAAGTAAAAGAGTAGTTTACGTGTATGCTTTTGCATCGTCAGAAAGTGGAAAAATTTTAAGTTGGAGGCCATCTGTGTTACTGTTTGAGTACTACTCAAACTAACAGCACTAGCAGGCACATGCCAGGCTGCTGACACGCAGCACCTTGTACAAGCAACACAGTCCCTGGTGAGAGAGGTACTGGTACATCACTTTAGAAGTAGTTTGTGCCTGTAGGGCTCAGACTATGCAGACAGGATGTGGCAAAGCCACACTGTCTAGCTCCCCAACTCACCATAATAACTGCTGTGACTCTTGACCTGTTACTCAGAAACAGTGTTTCCAGAGGGCAGAGGAACACTGCTTTGGATGTGCTCCTAATGAAGGGGATCCAACCACACACAGGGATGAGAAACACTTAGAAAACACACATACACACACACACGCCCTACAAGATAAGAAGACTCACCCAAAGACTATCTAGGTTGGGACTGACAAGTCGTTTTGATAAAGGATCCGACAATCAATATTTTAGGTTGTGCAGTCTCAGTGGCAACTAATACATAAACAAATGGGCATGGCTGTATTCTAATAAACTTTATTTATAAAAACTGGTAGCAAGGAGGAGTTGGGCCACAGGCCATAGGTTGCTGACTCTGTCTTAGACCACCAGAGTCCTGGAAAACCATTAGGTCTATGAGTAACACGACCAGATGAATGTTAAGAATGACTTATGGTGATTGCTGAACGATGGATTCAGAATATATAAGATGTTTTGCGAAATAAATATTGGTATTACTGTGTTTATCTTATATTGAATTTGTTATAAACAAATGCTAGTGGCTATGTTCCAATAAAACTCTATTTGCACAAATAAGCAGCAGTCTGAATTTGGTCCATAGGTCAAACTTGGTGGCCAAACTGAAATAACAAAAAATAGTTATCTGGGCTAGGGATATAGCACAGTTGGTAGAGTGCTTGCCTTACATGCACAAGGCCCTGGGTTCAATCCCCAGCAAAACACACACACACACACACACACACACACACAGAGTTATCTGCTTGAGAACATCTGTAAGAAGATGGTGTCAGATTCTGCTTGCTGTTTCTACTCTTGGAGCAGTGATTCTCCAAAGTAGCAGAGAGGGGAGTCATTATTCCCTCACACTGAAGCCATGTTTTATTGTTAAAACCAGGGAGGTGCTACTGGCATCTATTGCTAAAATCTTATCTTGCATGAACAACCTCCCACAATAAAGACACATCTAGCCCTAGGGCCCAATAACAACAGATGAGAAAGCCTTATATTAGCAGGATCTCGCCACACAGGGATCCCAAATACCTCTAGCACAAACACACTTCAGTCCAATTAAATTCCAGAAACTCAGCTGCAAAGACCACTTTGATATATCAGGTTCATCTGATGAAAGAACACTAGCAATGTGAGTTAGACTTGCTGATGAGGCCTATCTGACTCTCTTCTGTTTTTGAGAACAAGATGAATAACTTCACGAAGATTCATCTATAAAAGGATCAGGTTGGAATAAATAATCCCTTTAGCTTCTGTGAGATACAAATTCCTATGATTGAGAGCATGCAAGGTGGTTGAAATTCTAACAAACTACTTTGCTCTTTTTGGTAACTTTTTAGAAAGAATAATCTCTCTGTAGGGCTGAAAAGCTAAGACCAGATCATTGTGCTTTACAGTGTAGAGGAAGCCTTCCCTCTGAGATGTTTAGCAGCACCCAAGAAACAAACAAACAAACAAAAGTCAAGACAACCAGTGAAATTGAAAGTCTGTAAGTGTACCACTAACATGGCTTCTTCCTGTCCATGTAAAAGGTTTGACAGACTGAGATAAACAGGAGGAGGAAATTGCTACAGTTACTCTCCTTTCCTCCCAAAGGTGGAACAAGGACCATATAAACCAAAAAAAAAATGGAAACAGCATCACCACCTGTTACATCATCCACATTGGCAACACCAATGGTGCCTGTCTGTTCTTTTTGTTTTTCCTCTAGTGTGACTTATACTACTCTGAGAAACTACCCAATTTTTCAGTGTGGGCTCTCAAAGTGGAGCCTCATTTTTTTTAAATTCAGAAAACACATGTATAAATGTGTGTGTGTGCATAGACATATACTGAAATGTTAATTGTGGATATGGCCTGAAGAGCTCCACTGATGTGTGATCTCTTACTTTCTCTATTTTTTTTTTTATCTACAATTCAGCATAAATTTTACTGAAAGAAAAGATATCCTATATTTGTGTGTGTGTGTATGTGTGTATATATATATATATATATATATATATGTTTTACTCTATATTATCTCAAAAAGTATCTGAGGTGCCTAAAAATAAGCAACAGGTACAAAAAGATTTCTCTCAAAGTGAGACAAGAACAAGAATCAAGAGCAGTCAAATCTGAAAAGGGCAAAAAGAAAAGCTATTAGCTATTAGCCCTCACATAAGCTCCCATGTCCTACACACTGCCCGGACACACACACACATTTGGCTCTAAGCTTGGTGACATTCAAAAAAAAAAACACTCCTCCCCACCCTCCTCACCCCACCTCACCTCATCCCCACCATCCCTAATTAAGTTTTGTGTAGGGACAGATAATAAGCGTTTTTCAGCGTTCCATGAAAACACTCCCATTTGAGATCATGCAGTCCAGAAATGTGTTGATGGAGGAGGATCTAGCTGTAAACATGACCCAGAGTGCTGCCTGTACTGACCATCACTCGGGGGGAAGGTATCTGTGTGCACAGGAGCTTGCCATCTCCCAAAAGGCATTGCTTTACCTGTCTAAAATTGTCCCCGTGTATGTGATTAATTGCCCAAGAAGCGACAGTAATGAATAATCAATGGCAAGTTCAAGTCTAGGAGCCTCCAGGATTCTTTCACTGGCTCCTGGCCAAACTCCCGCCACCCCCAGCACAGCACTTACCATAAGCTGTCATGACACCAGCGTATGGCCCATCTACCACATTCCTGTTTTCTTCTGCCAGTGCCTTGATGTACCTTTTGCTGAGGTCCAGGATTTGCTCCCGCAGCACAGAGCTGCTTTCAGGCTGAGTTCGCTGTTGGATGGTAAAATGCAGAAGCATCATACCCCAAATGAAGCCAAAAGTCACCAGGAAAAAGCCCAGCTTCTGAGAGGACAACTTCCAGGGAGTAAAAAGAGCCATTGCTCTCTGGCAACTTCACCTGCCCTTGGCTCTCAACACATAGAAGGTGGACTCAAGTTCATGGTGTAGGTTGTGTCTGCAAGTCTGCGGGTCTCACTCGGGCTCCTGGGTCAGCCGATTTCCTTTCCTTGCTTCCATTCTGCTGTGAAGGAGGACGACAGTTAGCAAAGTGGCCGTGGTAAAGCATAGCAAAACAAGCCATAAGTCATGATTTCACTCGGATAGCTCAACATCAAATGTCAACTTCCTTTTTTTTTCTTTATTTGCTGGTTCGGCACCTTAATTTATGATTTGGCACATGTAAGCTGAGAGGGGAAATCTGGTGAGACAACAAGAAGCTGTACAAACACGGCCGGGGAAGTGTGTCTGAGTGAGTTAACAGGTGTAGTGGGGCTGCTCCTGTCTGGACCAAGGTCAAAACAGGAAGCTTGTTTTGCAAGGTGGGGAAGAGATAGAAGGATATTTTACTGCATGTCAGCAGAAACCTAAGCAAAGGATAGAGTCATACCATGGGGTACTTTGTGTGTCTGTAACTTGAGCTCACAAAGTCATTATTATGTGCTTTGGACAAGGATTAGTGCATGCAGCTGAAGAGGTCAGCAAGAAAGTGGATGTCCTCTCAAGGGTGGGCAACAAGGAAGTGAGAGAGAACCCCATCTTATTTAACCATGCCTGGCTTTCATTATCAGTGTTTAAAGATGAGATAATTCTCCTAGCACAGAGAGAGCCAGAGGTACAGTCACTGATCTTCCTGTGCCAGCTTTTTTTTTTGCAGTGCTTGCGATCGAACCCAGAAACCCAGCATGCAAGGCCTGTGCTCCAACACTGAGCTCCACCCCCACTTAGTTCTAGCTATCTTAAACGAAAACTGATTTTCATTTGTTCACTGGTACACTGTGAAACACAGGAAACACAAAGTACCAGGCTGTCTGCTTTGCTGTGGTTCTCACTTTCACTCCCATCGTGTAGTGTAGCAAAGTGAAAAGTTAAAGGACAGAGTTTCATAAACTAAGGTGGTCGATCCCATGTGATACCAGCACATGATGAGCCAAAGTTCTTAATCAGGGCTTCTCAGCAAGGGGGACGTGACCATAGACTGCAAAGGGGTTACCAGTATTCCAATTTATCTGCCTTTTCTGCTAGAGACCTAGGTTCAGGAACCAGCCAGTTGACAAAAGTGCCACTCGGGGAGAGGCTAAGCAATGATCTCCTACAAGGGACTAACCCAGGATGTATTGCAGAGTGCAAATGTTTTGGGTCAAAGGGATCTTCTTTGCAAGCAGCCTAAGAGGAAATGAAAGCAGGATCTTGGAGCAATTAGATTACAGAGTGTGCAATTCAGTGGATCTCTATTGGTCTGTCTCTTAAGGCCTTCCCCTCACCTGTCAACAGGTACTTCTACTAATAACATTAAATAATAAATAAGTTCTAGCTGTATCCCAGATATTGTGTTAAATGCTGCTTTGTACCTTAGCTTGTTGGATGCTCATAAAAGTTCTAGTAAGTCTTAATATTACCATCTCCCATTTATGAGAAACAAATTAGATGAGAAAATAAAGTTACCGGAGATTGCTTAGCAATAATTAATCAGCTAGGTGGCAGAGGAGAGATAACCTAAGGAAGCCCTGGGATCAGTAAACTTGCATCCAGCTTCCCCTCCCTTCCCCATTGCCCCAAATAGCTTATCTGAGTAAGGCTCAGGATGGTATGTACATGCTTACAGGAATATGGAAAGTAACAAAGAAGAATATATATGGAGACCCTATGTAGCACAAAGTCTAAAATATTTGCTTTCTGGCCCTTAACAGAAAAGGTATGTCAACCTCTGAATTCTAGGCTAGGGGCTCTCAAAGTGTGATCCCTGAACTCACCAATCACTACATCACCAGTGAGAAATGCATATTCTCCAGCCCTACCCCAGACCTACTGAATCAGCAACTCTGGAGGCCTAGAGCCTTGCATCAACAAACCCACAGGGCGATCCTGATGCATGCTCAATTTCAGAAGCCCTAATCCACAGTCAGATTCCAGGTGCATGCCTTACATCACTGTGCTACGCCATCACCAGGCCAATGCAATTAGTGTGATTAGGCTCAAATCCCATCTTGAGCTACTTTAAAACATAAGTTCCTGTACCCTTACACACCTGCTGTTCTGCTCATCACCATGAACCCAATGCATCCTTCAGGCAGCTCCCCCTCTTCCCTCAAGCTGCTCCTTCCACCTGGCCATCTTGTTTCACTGTGTCACGCTGCCAATCCAAATCCAGCCTGCTCTCCAAGCCCCACCTGTCTCAGCCCACGTTCCCCACTGCTCTAGCCTACAGTGTTCCCTTCTTGGTCTGAAATCTAAAACACTTGTCTGGCTACTTTGGATTGTTTACCAGTTTCTGAGTGGGTACTATAGATTGGAACTTCAATGCACCCCAAAGGTTCATATGTTGAAGGTTTGGTCCCCAGTCTGTGGTGCTTTTGAGAAATGGTAGGACCTTTAGTAAGAGAGATCTAGTGAAAGGAAGTGGATCATTGGGAGTGTGGCCTTGAAGGGGATATTGGGACCCCAGCCAATATCCAAGAGCCCTCCTTGGCCACATGCTTGCCACAATGTTTTTCTATAGGAGAAAAAAGTAAAGGACCAACCAATCACGGACTCAAACCTCCTAAACTGTGAGCTGAAACAGTCTTTCCTCCTTACAAGTTGATCATCTCAGATATTTTTTCACAGTGATGCAAAGCTAACACAGTGAGATACCATGACATTGTTTGGGAGAGCGCCTCTCCCCCCGCCCACCCACCAGCCCTACAACACACAGATGCTTCCCCACTTAGGCTGGGGTTACATCCTAACAAACACACCCTACATTGAAATTATTAAGTTGAAAATGTATTTAACACACCTAACCTAGTGAACTCAGTTTGATCTGGCCTATCTTAATTATACTTGGAACAATTACATTAGCATCCAATTGGGCGAAAGCATCTAATGCAAATCCTACATGATAATAAAATGTTCCACAAATCCTAAGTCAAACTATTCCAATTCAGGGACCATCTGTGCATACCTTCTCAGAGAAAGGCAAAGCACAATAAAATATCTGTTGACTAAACAAACTTGTCATGGGGCACCATGGCACGGTATTCTGCCCTACTCAACAATGACCAGCTGAACAGCATCTTCCCTTTCTTTCTGCCATGTGCTCTACCAATATACACACATGGAGTACCTGTTTCCCTCAGGCCCTTTTGACTGAACAGGGAGCCAGTTAGAACTTCTGCCCTAAGGAAGCTAGAGCAGTTAAAGCACTCCACTAACTGGGCACTGCTCTGACTTCCTCAGGAAGTAACTGTGCTTCCTTTTTGATAACCTATACTCACTAGTCCCCCAGGACAAGTAATGAGGTGCTATACCAAGGAGGACAGTTTGTGGGTTATTTTCGTTGATTATTTCAGCACACAGACCCAACTGTTGACAGGAATTACGGGTCAACTTTCAGACAGAAAGCCCCACTCTACTTCCTCAGTGAACCCACTGAAGAGACTGCTCAAGTCTGCACAATTTAAGCCATGGAAAGACCAAGAAGAGGAAGTAGACAAGTGCTCTGTTAGAAGGTGGAAGGCTACTAAACCTTTGCCTTGGGAGGGTCAGATCTACCAAGATGATGCATTCAAGGGGTAAGAAGAAGACGGCCAAGAAACCTAGCCTGCATGAAATTATTCTAGCTTAGACAGATGCAAATTAGCTGTGAAAATCCCTAGCTATAAAGAGTTCAGAGTACTTGAGGGCCCAGGTATTAAGTGATTATAGAATCGCCAGGGATGATCTTTCCTCTAGTGGAATGCAGAGTGTGAAATTACAGAAACCATCAGCATGCACATTCGAATTCATCTCTATGGTTCCTGTTAAGGAGACAGAATTTAAGACTTTTCAAAAGCATTATTCAGGAGACACCCCTATCTCCCACAGTAACAGGAAGATAATGAGGATCCAGAACAGCCATCTTTGCAGAGAGCCTTGGTGCCAAAAAAGGACTAATGATGATCATTAGTAATGAACACAATTAATGGAGAGGCCTTGGACTAACAGCAATCAAAAAGTAGTCTTTCAAGCTGAGAATGTGCCTGCCTCAAAACTTAGCAGTTGGGTCCTATAGCTAAGTGAATCCAAGGGACAGAATAAAGAACTATATAGTAAATCTTAGAGGACCCTGTTGCCAACCAGATGGATGACAGTCCAGAGCCATGATTTCATCAATCCTCAAGACAGAAGTTTATGCCATTTCTTCCCCTATACATATCCCCTCCATTCCATTTCCTAAAAGAGTATCATTTATTTCTTCTTTCCCACTCATTTCTCAACACAGTAAAATCTGGCTTCTGCCTTTTCAAATGTGTTCAAAGATCTTTGGAAAGGAAATATGTCAGTTCTCCTAATTGGAAAAAAAAAAAAAAGGAACATACAAAGATGTTTGGTATCATTAACCATTAAGGGAAATCAAAATTATAATAAGACATGGCTTTACATCCATTTGGATGGTCAAGATAAATCAATTTAGGCAAGAACAAGTGTTGGTGAGGATGTGGAAAAATGGAATAGTCTCATACATGTAAAATGCTACAGCCAGTGTTGGAAACTGTTGTGGAAAAATGTTGTGGTTCCTCAAATACTTAAACAGGGAGCTACCATGTAATCCAAACAATATGCTCCCAGGAATTCTCCCAAGAGAAATGAAAACTTAGGTCCACACAAAAACTGACCAATTATCATAGCAGTATTATTCATAATAGAGAAACAACCCAAATCTCCATCAACAGAGAAATGGATAAACAAAACTAGCTTTAGGCTAAACTGGAATATTATTTGGCCTCAAAAGAAATGAAGAACTGATTATATGAAATATGGCTGATCCTTGAGAACATTATGCTAAGTGAAAAAACATCTCAGTTTTTGAAAATCACATATGATTCCATTTACATAAAATGTCTAAAATAGACAAATCCATAGAGACAAAAGGTACACTAGTGCTTGCTAAGGGCTGGGAAGAGGGTAGAGAATAGAGGAATTGGGAAGTGACATCTTAGGTATACAGAGTTTCTTTACAGGGTAACAACAATGCTCTGAAACTGACTGTTTATAGAAGAGAAT